ATCCTCGTTTAGTCGCAATTTAGGCTGCCTGCGAACTTTCGCCAGGATACCACCGGTCCCCGCTTCTTTCTTTCACATCATTTCACCGAAGTTGCGCTTTAAATTAAATAAGCGACGTTCACTAGGGAAGGAGTGAATCTATTCTGTGTTCGGGATTAAAGCCGGAGGCAGATCCGAAGGGACTTGCCTCCAGTTTCGCAACCCTCGTGTCAAAAATTTCCAACAATACGTTTAGCACATTTTAATTGTAGTTAAAAAAAAAACTCGCTGTCTGTTCGCAAGTAATCCACGTATAAACTCTCAATCAAATATATGTTATAATTTCTCATTGGAGCAACCTAATTGAACGTAACTTAGATTTTTGTTACTTTTTACTGTTGATCAATATATTATTTTAAAAATACGATTATTTAATTTTATCAAGGATTAGGTTGCAACTAATATTATTCACCGAACATGCAGCTAATTATGAAATAAAAAATAGTAATTAATCCATGCTATAAAATCTCTTTTTATGATAGACAGTATATTGGTTATTTTACGGTTTGGTCGATTATTACATTGCATATATTAAATATTATATAAAGAATATATTAGAAAAAAGATTTGTGCTTTTATGTTAATTTACAAGACAAGTTCGTGATTTTACACGAAGATGCTCTCGGAAATTCTCTCGGGCGCGCACAGCTTTGGTCGTGAAGTATATTGAAATATATTGATGTACGTATGCACGCTGGTATACTTTGCATCTGCGCTCTTAGGAAGCGCGTTTCATAGCGAGGTATTCTCACAAAGGCGTGCGTCAATCATCCGCAGACCTCGACATTGATTTTCGCCGTGTACGTTTATTGTATTTCGCGTGTCGATGCACTTCGAGAGTTTCGCGCTCAACTTCCATTATTAATTATCGAAGTGTAATTTCGCGCGACTTATGCTGCCGTGGAGAAACTTTTCTCAGACTTTTCCCAAAGACGAAGAAAGGAAAAGCGGGCAGGCCACCGCTAATATCGAAGGCGCGCGAAATTTATGCCGGATCGAGATCTTTCGCGAGAGAGCGAGAAATCTCACGGAAAGATACGGAAGGAAATTTATATATGCCGCCGGAATGAATGTTACGGAAAGATACCGGCCGCGTCTAGGTAATGTCCCGGAACTTTTCGTCGATAGATGTAGCAATTTAAAGTTCTCGCACTCGTTAAATGGTCTCGCGCGCTACTTTAGCATCGTCGTGACTGCAATGAGAGTCTTTGTCATGCGCCGATTGAAAGTCGATCTTGAAAAATTGCATGAGAAGTCACGCGAAATCGAATCAGAGGCAGATTTAATCATGAGAACAGGTTAAATTTTTTGTAAATAGTTGAAATATAGCCTATGTGTTTTGCGTAACTATTACATTTCGCAAATAACGAAAATAACGATTTTATCACAATTTATATTTTACAAAAACTCCACGTTTTTTCAGCATTTGGATTTTTAAAATATATTTCGATTTTTTAAATTTAGATTTCTAAAGCCAATATTTAAAGTTTTCACAAATTACTCGTTGATTAATGACACAATTAATGCATTGCATAAGTTGCTAAAATAAAATCATGGTCGCAAGCAGCTGTCGTTAATTAATTAATTATTATAAACTGAATAATACGATTATAATTGAGGTGGAGTTTCTCACACAATACCGTCTCTTGTGCTTCGTATTTTATTCCTGATTATAGAAATGCTTCTTGATCCTGATTGCTTCGAGCTTCTGCAAACATAAGAACCGGGTGAAAATCTATGTTTCCAGTGTGAAAATCCATGTTTCTACCAAAATAAATGAGATAGTTGTATTAATTATTATAGATTGAACGATATAATTGAAATAGCTGGTGCTTCTCGCACAATACGCCTCTTGTTCTTGACGCTTCCTGATTATAGAAACGCTTCTTGACTCCTTCTGGAGTTGGCTGCTTCTGCAAACACAAGAGCGGATGAAAATCCACGCTACCAGTATACTCCAAAGACACGCTGTACGCTCGCATATAACCGACTCTATTCGCGCGCTCATAAAGGGCCATCCTTTTTCCAAGCCGATGTACATGCATACGCGATGAATGTGTACTTATACGCGCACTGTAAGGCCTTTCATAGCTTGTACATATTCCTCTTTATCGTACACCGCTCTCGAATTTAGATATGTTTATCTGAACATCCCTTTCTCTCTCTGTATTATGTATATATATATATATATAGAATCGCTTTTATCAATATTTATATCTATTTGCTCATTTGCCATTTTTAAATTAGATTATTTTGCAAATAACGAAATACGTGTTGAGCAAAAATTTGCGCTATTGTTTGGACAAAAGCTGCAATTTTATTGCACCCAGTGATATTTCAAAGATATTTAATACAGTAGAGGATGTAATACATAACAGTGTTACATATGTAATTTAAGCGAAGACTCGTAACAGAAGTGACACGTTGACAAGACTAGGTCAAAGGAGAGATAACTTACGTATAATCCTTTACGCATATTTACATAAGCACAAAGGGCAAAAGTTAATTAATAGACGAAATGTTCTTACTTGTTGTAAGCCAATGCACTGTATTTCGGCGCTGCATTTCTGCATTTCTAGCCGCAAATATACGTGTGTGCCTGGTAATGTACGCGAACGTTTAGTTCTACCTTTGCCCATTTCCTCCTTTCTCTTGTCTATCATTCGCTACTTCACACTCGCAGTCTCTTTGCCGTATCAGCGAATATGTATCTCGCGCCCGAACAATAACAGGACAAAGCCGCGCACGTAATTAACGCTTTGTGCACGTTGTTTTTTAACAACATTAATAGAGGTAAGGAAATGGAGAAACGAGCAGAAGTTTCTTTGTAGCAAACGCAAGTTTGTATTGTCTGAATTTAGGCAAAAAATATTAGTTAAATTAATATTTGGAGAAAAGTAATTCTGAAGAATTGTGCATATAGATATTTTTTCATTATGTTATAAGATAGATACGAAAATATAATTTAAACTGTAAATATGTGAGATTAAAAGTGAAAGAATGTGAAAAATCGAATTATTTCTTCAAACGTGTAATATAAAGAACGTAAGAGGAATAACGTACCCAAGCAAATTTTACAGACGAACGATTGGAAAAGGTCATGAATTAACAGCGAGATTTAATTTTCTTTACGCAGAGCGTTTCAACAGGCTTGGTATTTCGAAAAAGAGTATAAAAGAATGCTAATGAAAGAATATTTTCATTTGAACGACGGCGAACAAAGGTCTGTAATCATTTTAGAAGCAGGAATAGATAGAATTTATCGAGACTTCTATGAAAAATACTTGAAAGAGTGTTAATACTTTTAATTGTTTAAAGCACGAAACGATTTCGTCTTGTCACTCTGCCCTCGACTATTTTCGATGAATTACGTCAAACGTTTTTATCGAGCGGGTGTTTCACTCGAATGCACCAGGTGCACATTGCGCAAAAAAAAATGAATGAACGAAAGAGAGTCATCCCCAATTTACAAACAAGACGATGACAAAAAGTAAATATATTCTACTTTATTGCATATTTAGGCGCAATCAACGTATTACAAACACGTTTGCTTACGCTAACGAAATTGCGAAATATTTAAATGCATAAATATGCAAATGCATTGTACATATGAAAATATTTATCGTTTGCTTTTTGCGATTAATGTTTGAAAGTTGACATGCAATTACGCGGGGATAAAACTAAAATCGCGGAAAATTGACATCGCGCAAACACGATTCGCGATTACAAGCGTTCGTTATCGACGATATATTCTACGTTTTTATCGGGTTTGACATTTACAGTTTTAACAAAATCGTTCAATGAGAAGCCATTCGCACTGCGCGAATTGCAATTTTTGCAGGAGGAAACGCGCGCGTGACAACGCTGTACGGTAATAGACCGATGACCTTCATTTCCAGCATTCGTCGACGCGTATATTTCGTATTTGACTGGCTGTTGTCGTCCATCGGCATCCCGCTTTCGCTCGTCCGGACTTGTCCATTCATCTGCGTTCGATTCCATTTAGTCTTTGAACCGAATCCTCTATCGACTTCGCGCACACCGTTCCGCTCCTCATACATCCGATCTGTTTGACAGCTCAGAATAACCAAATTTGTTCAGAATTCCACGCAGATTTGAAAGCCGCACACAACAATGTAATAATATTGGAATTATAAGATTGCAAATATAGATAAAATAAAGATTATTGATAAAAAAAAAGGTAATGGCATTAATGTCATAATTTGAGTTATTGTAATAATTAAATTTGCGTTATTCTCGTAAATTAATTTTGTTGTATCTTTATTTTTAACACATTCGCCGTCAAACGTATTTTGGCTGACTTTTTATTCACGCAACTTGGATTATTTTAGATTCAAGAAAGAGAATAAATAATTATTTGTAAAATTTTAATAGATAAAAGCATTGATTTGTTCGTCAAAGAACTTTGTTCGTACTTTTCTACTATTATTAAACATAGTCATACTTTTACAAATGTAAGTAATATTGCGTGGTTAATTGTTTTCAACAATTACGCCTTGTCGATCACCGGTGACCATCATGGCGGTGAATGTGTTGAACAATTGTCTTATACATGTATATATGGGATAAAATAAAAAAAAATTATTAATTAATTTTTAAAGGAAATAACATATCGATATTTTGTTCTTTAGAATCATTTTTTCAATCAATTAAGAACCGATCAAAAAAATTTAATTTCTACTTTATTATTAGAACTCAAAGGGATATAAAAAGATTATTAAGTTTAAAGAGGAAACTTATTTTTTTTTTTTTAGTATAAGATTTTTCTTCCACTTTGTTCCCGTCAAAGAAACCGAGTAACTGAGTAACGTTTGAATATTTTCCTGAAAGCGCAATTTCATCATTGTTTCACTTCGAGATTAATCCGGTTTGTCGTTGCCAGTTGATCGTCAGCCCTTGCAACAGTAACAACGAGATTTTTCTCATGCTTTCTTTTACAGACGCTGCCACGTGGGGGCGGAATGAGCTCGAGGGCGGAATAAATCATCGACAAGTGCGTACCCGTGAGATGCACGTTGCCCCGAGAAGGTCTTCTGGAAACGCCGATCGTCTCGCCGAGCGGAGGTCGATCGAACGAAATAATGCGATCGAAGCGCATCAAGAAGGCGGCGCTCTTCAGATTGCTGAGATATAGATAGTGCGCTAGGTGTCGGAAGATAACTCGGCGCATCTCCGTGACTGTAAGTCGAGAGTGAAGAGAGGCGGGAACACACTCAGACGAGAGCACACGAGACTGATCGCGATTGCGGCGACGATCGATGAGCGCAATTACACTTCGCTGGCTGTGATTTTTACTCCTAGACACCCCGACACCGGATGCTTGATGCGCAAAGACCGTTCAAGACTGATCAAGTTAGACTTCTCACCGACTTCCCAGGAAGAATAAGTGAGCCCGGGACATTGTCGTCGTAAGTTATGACGTCATCCAATTAGATCGATCGTTATTAATATCTCTGTTGTATCCTGTCACGCGATAAACATTGCCGCGCACCGGTCGCGCTGTAAACGTTAACTATCCGAGTCGCTATCCGAGTCTGAGTGCTATTCGCACTCTTTAAAACTAGCTCTACCAAAGAATAATTAAGGCGAACGAATCTCATTTTCGCGAAGACGTGCGTTGCGGGAGTACTCGTTGTTCCTCTCGCATTCGCGTTTATTAGCGCCGTCGTGAAGCGCGCCGGTTGCATACAAACGACGGCGAGAGAATTCCCTATGCGACGTCGACGAGAGCACGCAGCTGCATCGTCGACTAACGATCACGCGCGCGGAAGAAACGCGAACGAAATGCGATCCCATCGGCGGAACGTTCTTGGTATACGAACTTGGCGCGCGCCAATCCGCGATTAACCGCGTTCTACAACACGCTGTCGATTGTTCCTACGATCTCTCTCTTTCTCGTCATTGTCAACAAGCAATCGCTGTTCCCGAAAGTTTGCGGAAGATTTCGCGAGGTGTTCGCGCATGTCGATCGAAATTCACGATAACTTTGGTCGCGTCAAGTGACGAAAGAATGTACTTGGAGACTTGCCAAAGGAGAGAATCGCCGGCATTGGAAAGTTCGAGTGACACTCGTGCTGTCCAATAGTCGAGTCACACTCGTCGGCTAAAATTATTTCGCTGCATCGGCGGAAAAAAGGGACGTCGTTATCGTCATCGTCAACGCTAGGTCACAAGTTAAGGTTATTCGATGTTTCAAGTCTATTGCAAAGATTCGCGAAACTTTGCAGTGTTTTGTAGAACGTAGATAGAGATACTAATTAAAGGAGAGCGACGATTAAAAAGCGTAGGCGGTTGAGAGGAAATATTAAAAAAGAAGGCGGGGAGAGAAGAGAAATTACTCGCGAGCAAACGAGCATTTCAAATGAATTGGGAATGAACATCGAGCGGCAGAAAAGCCGAAGAAAGAGCGATTAAAGAGGAGAGAATCGGGGGCCGATTGAAAGTCGAAACGTGGAGAGGTGAATAGTACTCGAGCGGATAATTCGCCGGCTGTAGTCCGACGCTTCGAAAAAAGTATAAAGGCAAAGAATCACATTGAAACCGGAACTTTTATTGAACGTTTTAACGGAAATATATGTACTTGTACGCGGCATAATCAAAAGTGTAGTTGTTGAAAATTTAGCTTAAAATCAAAAACTGATTTTAACGCGATTTTCTTGGACACGATTATTCGACTCGAATTTCCGGGAAGAGATTTTCAGCGCGTTTAAGAAACGATAAAATCAACGATAGGTCGCTCAAGACATTTCGGTGAAATTGAACTATCTGAAACCGGAACTGGCTGAACACTGAAGTTTTCGCGAAGAAATAATGTGCTTAAAAAAGTTACTTAGTTGAGAACTGGTCGATTGTTTTTTAAACACCGGTGCTTTCCTGGAGATGCTGATTAAATATTATCGCAATGGCATCGGTATTATTCAAGTTCTCGTCGAAATCAGACGGTGTAACAGCCGGACTTCCGCAAGACGGAAGTGCGATAGTAGCAAACGATCTCATCAAATATTCACCCGGCGTTTTGCGCAGCTTCGGGAATAAATCGCAACCGAGCCAAAGGGGTTGGGAATTCATTCGGCATATTAGATCACCGTGCAAACGCGATGTAATTAAAGAAAATTTGCAAGAGTGTCGAGAAAGCTATAGAAAGGGATAATTGAAAATTCATGTAGCGCTTTAGCGTCTTCTTCTCGAGAGGTGCGAGGGAGAAATAATTGGCGGTTCACTGGAGATCTTAACCGATCGTATAGAAGGGAAAAAAAGAGGTAGAATCGAGCGAAGGTGAAAGAAACGAGTATTTCGACCGATCGACTTAACAGGATAGCTCGGAATATCCGAGCGGGAATTCAGACGGCTGAATTAAAGATTCAATCGACTACTTCCGCGAACTCGAATTAGAAAGTGCGAACGAAAAGTGCCGTCGTCGACGAGCTATCCGGATATTTTATTCGATTCGGGGAAACATATAATCCAACGGAAATTGACGAGCGGAAGAAACGGCGGAGTTAAGAAAACGTCGGCGAGCGGGAAAAACTAGTCGCAGCTAAATCTAGCGTCACGCTCGATAAGTAGAAGTCGCATCGTTTATAAAGATCGTCGAAGCGAAAAGAGGAGAAACAATCTCCAGGGAAAAGTGTGAAAAGTAACTTTGGAAATCTGTCGAACGGTTCCTGAGTTTCGCTGTCCCTTTTTCGGCGGTGGAAATCAATTGTCGAAGAGGGAAATAAAATTTTTCCTCTAAAATAAATAAAATCGTCTGTTTGTTTTGCGTAAACGACCGCAGAAGGTACGATTCGAACCGGAAATTTCTACGAACGAATAAAACGCGCCCACGCACGTCCGGAGGGAAAAAAGGTATAATACGGTTAATCGTCGAAAGGGCGGCGCGCGAAGGCAATCGATGGAATTGATCTACGCGAACGTTGCGGGAATTTTCAGTATCTTCGATTCGAAGTACCTTGCATTCACCGACGCATCAACAAACGATCGCCGGGCGATTGCTGGAGGAACTGCGCGAAAAACTCGATTCTCGCTATTTCGAAATACGTGATCGTACTTCTAGGAAGTCGCCGAAAAAGCACCCGCCATTTCGGTTGCGCTTTTTCCACGTAATACTGGTGGGTGGAAGAGAATGTGAGGAGACCAGGAAGAGAGCGCAGGAGAAAGGTTGCAATTTGCCATTGGCCACGTAACAGTAAATTCATTGTGCCGGAAGCGTAATCCTGAGGGACGAGTGGCGCGCGCGTAGATACATTTTGAATCGGAATTTCGAAACTTGATACAAACAAATACAAACGTACATCCGTAGGAGCCGTTTGTTAAAGACAGCACGTATACACGCGAGAGCTCAGGCGAGCCGTTTCTTCCAATCGCCCCGATACACTCGGGCTCGACGAGAACGAACGATCGTGCCAAACGGCAAATAGGGAAATCCTGATTCGCGCCCGGAAGGACCTCCGTCCCCGGGTCCGTCCGTCACGTCGATCGTGAATAAGCGCGATCGTCGGGAAGAGCCGGGCCGTGAACTCGTTCGTGGAAAATCAGAAGTTGCGAGAGCCTGGCGGACGTGAATCTTCGTCGTGAAGGCTTTACGGGGCGCGAGCGGAAGCGAGCGAGAATTGAGGGAATTTAATCGAAGTATGGCGGAGAAAATTGGGAAAAATAATTTTAATCCTCTCTCACTCTCACTTCCCGAGGTCATCAAATATGGAACGACGAAAGTAATCCGATATTTACGTTCGGCCGAGAATGTAACGAGCGGTCGTTTATACGCGCTCGTCGTAATGGAGATTCTGCCAGTGCAAAAAAAAAGCAGCAGCCGGGGAATAGAGATTTCCATTTGACGAAGTGAAATATTCGTCGTTAGGGTCGAGTGAGAAGCCAGCGGGCTCTCGGTCGCAAAGCGAGCAACAGAAATCGACTACTCTGCCATCGTTCATCGCCATTTAACATCGCGATGAGCGACATGTAAGAGGAGAATAATTTGTATTCGAAGCAGTCACGTAGAAATCACAGCCGTAATCCGCTCGCGAGGATCGGTCGATCGTGTGTGCTCAAATGTGAGAGTCCCATTTAAATTCGTTCGTTCTCATCTAAAGGCACCGATAAGAAAATCCCGACTTTCTTAACTAGCGCGACAAACACGACGGTGCGAGAATCGAGAATTTATTTAACGCGTTTGCGCACTCGGTTTTTCCTCGATAAAATTTCAACTCTTAAGCTCAGAATTTTTAATTATAATTATTATTATCGAGCTAAGAGAGACAAGATAAAATAATAATAAAAAGCACAAAATTTCTTTCATTCTAAGATTGTTTAAAGTTCTTCAGAGGTATTTCTTACAAATCCTTTCCGCGATATATGATTCTCTCTATGCGAGCAAACGCGTGCAATTAAGCTTTTTCTTTTTCGAAACCGTCATCGATTTATACCGTAAGTCTTGCCCACCGCTTTCTGGAAGGATCAAGTCGCTTCTTATCGGGAATCAGGAGGCGACTGAGGTCGAAGGAAAAGGCACTCAGCCGGTCGTACCAACGACGGTAAAACGTGAGGGGAGAACGCAAGTCAACTACGACGACGCCTAATAGAAGCGACGACGCTGTTTTCAATTTCTCGCAGGATAACATCGATCTCTCGAGCGGAACGAGTGTCGGAAGACTTCCGTTGGATTCGATTTGGTAAAACGAGAGCGGGAGCGCCGTCGTGCGGAGGATGCTGGGCAGGCGGTGGGAGGGAGGGTGACCGTGGGTAACGATAGGTACGTGATCGTCGTGGGTGGCGTGTGCGGGGGAGTGAAAAGTGCAATCGAAGCAATACAGCGGAAGCTAAGGCCACAGCCGGGCTGGCGGGGAGGATTGCAGGCTGCATAGATCCCGATATATTCGCGGTGAATGGAAAAAAGGAAGAGACGAGGTATGTGCGCGGCGGTAGGGGAAGGGAAATCGACAATCGAGTGGGACGAGCGGTGTCAGTGTGTCCCCAGGGTGCTAAGACACTGTTTCCTCTCTGCGCCGCTTCCTATCGTCTCTCTCTCTCTCTCTCTCTCTTTTTATTTTCGGAAAACGTTAATGGACCGCGCCGCACGTGGATCGCGCGACAACACGAAGCTCGGGGACATTGACGACCGATTTTATCAGTTTCCGTGAACTAGAGAATCGTCCCTCTCTCGCTCGTTTCCGCGTGAGATAGTATGAGGGATATCATTTATAGAATCGCACACTCCATTCATCCGATAATTCCTGCAGCTTTGGACGAAAAAAGCGTCACAGAGCGCCGGGCAAGGAAAAAAGACACTCGGCAGTATTGAAGAAGTCGAACTTTTTTTTTCTCAGAGAGAAAATTCTTCTCCTTGGAATAAAGCGCCGAAATAAGCGAGGAGAGAGCTATCTATAGAAAATATTGTCTCTTTATTCACGCTGGTAAAATTCGCGATCAATTGATGTCACGATGATATAGATCGCAAATTGGAAATTCACAAGAGATGGAGAATGGAGGCGACAGACGAGCGGCAAACAATTGACGAAACGCAGACTGGATCGAAGCTCGTCGAATTCGATACTCTCAGCGCTGTCGAAAACACTGTCGTTTAAAGGTCGTGTAATGTTAGACGACATTTAAGGTGCAATGCGTGTGACTATGTGACCGGAAAGTGAATACTATTGATTGTGCGGAACAACGTTTCTGCATTTGCGACCGCGAAACTAAAGCGCCGGATTGATTAACGCACAGTGTACGTTGAAGTCTATCGACGAGAGCGTATATTCGATGTACGCAGCATTAACGAGCTTATCGGGCCGTAGATGTGGAAATATCGACGCAAATTTACGAAGATTGGACTTTAATTAACGGGCTGCGTACGACGAAAGTAATAATAATAGTTTCCGATAACGATAAACAGAAATAT